GAAGAAAAAAAACAATGTTTATGCGAGTAAAATGAAAAACAAATGTCTGAAAGTTTAGCTAAAGATTTAGCTAATGTTTTGGAAGTGACATTTAACCATGCAAGTGTTCACATTAACGTGTTGTTAATAATTAACTTTCTCTTTCTCACTCTCTTCTCTCTCACAGGTGGTGACCTCCTGTTGGCCGGACACACTCACCGGGACACAAGGGTCAACTGTAGGACTCATCAAGGGTGAACTGTTCAGAGAATCTCTCAGAGACAAGGAGGGAGTCAGCCATCGCTGGTCCTGTGCTACTATTATAAAGGGCTGTGTTACTCAGACTGGAGAAATGTGACGGCCTCGCCGGCCTCACTGATCTAGACCTCTGGGCTGCTACTGTTGAACGACGGCTGATGCCCCAGCTGGATCTTCCGTCGTCGCCATTTTCCACGACTATCATTAGTGGCTAATGAGCTACTTCTAGAGAGGAAACAGAGAAGGTGCCTGTGGAGAGAGGAGGAACCTTACGGCTGTTATTAAGAGGCCCAGAGATTTGACAAGGAATTATTTGTCTCTGCCTGAGAGTGGAAACCTTTAAAGCTTTTTTCCCGGATGCATTCATGAAAGAACACTGACTCCTTTCAAGTTTTGAATGTCAGTCTTTTTCTTTTGTTTTTTCTTTTTCTTTTACATCTTGAAAAGCAGCGTTTGATTCCTATTTCCTGCAAGATGCCTCATCATTTGGACATAAACGTTTTTTCTCTCTCAAGACATTTTGTAAACTATTATCACCTATTAAGCTTTTTCTGGTAAATTAATATTGTTTTGTTTCACTCGTTGAATTTATTCTGACCTTCCTATGACCTGAAGAACGTTGCTCGCCATGGCAGCAGCGTATCGTGTAGTGGTCAGCAGCGTGAGCTGCTACAACAGTGTGGTAGTGGACCGGCGCACTCACTCTCACGCTGTGCACTACTGTTCAGGGCCATGCGGGGCGCTAACCCAGGGCCTGGACTGTACTGTGGCTCATCGCGGCACCTGCTCCGAGCTGCTTGTAGCCCCGGATATTGTTTACACCGAGACAAACAACTCACCGATACAAACTCACAACATAATTACTCAACAACTTTCCAACCATGGTAAAATTGGTATTACCACCGATACCAGTTATAGTGGTGGTTTAGAGAGGGCGGGCAGCAGTGGCAATTTGTCTGTAGGAGAGGACAGCCCAACATGGCGGGGTAAAAAGACCTTGGTCTGTGGAGGATCGACTGGTAATCTAAGCTCGTCAGGCAGTTTGAAGGATATCACTGAGGAAGCCATCAATCTAGCCAGTGGTAAACTCAAAGAGTTCTCCTTCGACAAGCTACGCCTCTCCTCTTCCAGTCACGTCACTTTCCGCAAAGGTCGAAAGGTCCGCCCTGACTCCTTCAGCCGACGCTCCACTGACCTGGAGATCATCTACGGCCATTTCAGCTCCAACATCACCACTAATGGTATGACTAATGGCATGGCCAATGGCACGACTACATCTAATGATGAGAATATACAGCCGTACGTGCTGGGGAAAGGGGCGGCACTGGAGGAGACGAAGCTGAAGAGCACATCAAGCATCCTGTCAGCCAACACCAAATCAAGTGGAGGTTCAATCGGCAGTTTAACAGGTATTGGGTCATTAGACCAAAGTCTGAACACGGTGGCCGCCCTGTACCGTAACACCCTTGGAGAGGAGAACTTGATTGCTCGTCTGCTTGAGAAAACAAGGTTAGAGGCAGGTAGTGGAGGAGCAGGAGGTGAAGATATCCGAGCCTGTCTTGATATCCTTCTTAAATGTTCGGAAGACCTTAAGAAATGCACTGACATCATCAAGCAGTGCATCAAACGTAAGGCTGGTGGAGGGTCGGGGGAGGGAGCAGCCAGTCCTGACAGCATGTACCGGGCGGTCATGACCCGACTTAGTACATATCTAAAAAGACTTCCACTGGAGCTGGAAGGTATCGGGGGTTTGGGAGTCACTGGACCTGGGAGTGGCCATAATGATTTGGCTGAGCTGGTCAGCACCCTCCACTCCATCCAACAGGGCCCTTACTCACCAATATTTGGTAATGAGCAACCTCCTCGCTATGAGGACGTGGTGCAGTCGCCTCCCATGCCAAACACCGTTTCTCATTCTGCATCGACCTCTTTGAAATCGGACTCCATCCATGCCAAATCTGTCCATACCTCTCCATCCAGAACCAGTTCTCTTACAAATGGACTACAGCATTCTTATTCTTCTTCAGGCACACAGCACACACTCTCTCCTCCTTCTGTCACTGGTTCTTCATCCAGCTCCTCACCAACGCATTCTTCATCCCCTCTCCGAACCTCTCCGACTCCTCCATACATGCACACTCCTCCGGCATCCCCCATGGAAGCTCTTTACATTGAAGAGGAGGAAAGTGATGTGGGCAAGATACAGGAGCAAGTCCCGCAGCAGACAGTTACTCCCCGAGGGTTTAACACAACCCAGAACAAACAAGGGACTGTGTCAGGTCAGAACTTCAATCAATCCCAACCATACACACTCCAAACTTCATTAGATAAGTTACCCACAAGTGCTGGCTTCAACTCCTTTCCCTCACTTCCTGTCTCAGCACCTAAATCAGGGTCACACAGAAATGACGATATAGACAAGCTGCTAATGGACTTGGAGAATTTGTCTCAGAGCATGAGCCGCCCAAGAGGCGCTGAGCCACCACTGCCAGCCAAGACCAGAAAAAGGGAAGGGGCACAGGTGATGTCCACTCAACAGAAAATGTCCCAATTCCAAATCCAGAACCCCACCAGCCACCTGGTCATGAACGGGCCCAGCTATGGACCTCCTCCAAGGACTCCTCCCCAAGGACAGAACAGTGAAACTGGAGTGGGGGAGGAGGAAGATGGAGCTCTGCTGCTCAGGATCCTGGAGAGCATTGAAAGTTTTGCCCAGGAGCTGGTGGATTCTGGGCCAGGAAGCACAGGTAGTGCAGAGAGGAAATGTGGGAAGGAGCGTGAGGTAATGAGGCTGCTGCAAGACACGCTGGCCACCACCGGCAGAGCAGATACTCCTCCAGCTGCTGCACCGACTTTTTCTACAGCAGCCCCAGCCATACCTCCAAAACAGTGTCTTGCAAATACACGTGCAGTTTCACCTGTACCTACGACATATGAAACTGTGACAAATTCTACATCCGAACTTGTGCCCAAACCTTCACCTGAAGTGTCCCCCAAACCTCTGCCAACACCTATGTCAGCACCAACAGAAACCATAGAGGCAGTTGAGGTCTCTACAGCTGCCATCCAAGAACTGACAGTATCAGAACCTGCAAGTGGACGTTCTTCTACTCATTCAGTTGACCATACGCCTGCGGGCGTGGTTCCTGTTGCCATCCCTGCTGCAGAAGATGCAACAGATGCCGCCATTACTGTTGAGGACTCTGCAGCCGTCAGAGACACTGGTTCGACGCTACTCATCCAGCAGACTCCAGAGGTGATCCGAGTAAGTGAACCACACACAGAATAAATGTATAATTGTAGTAAGGAAAATGCTATGCCATGTGCATCTATGGCATGTAATACCTGTGCCAGAAGATGTCAAAGTGGGAGAAAGGTTTGGTACAGGATGTAAATGATAAGGTAAGATGTATGATTCATATAACAGGCCTAAGGTACTAGTAGTGTTACATCACAGATCACCATGATGTTTGTAGGTATGTTATCGAGAGTGACAGTTCAGAGCAGGTTGAAATGTCTGGAAAGAAGGAGGTCTGCGACAAGAGACGGTAGTGAAGGTGGTATTAGATGCCTTTAAGGTGCAGACAGCGTGAAGTGTTCTTAGTGTTTCACAGCTAAGTGAAAGCTATGGTTTGATGCTATAATGCATTCCTTTGAGACAAATGTACAAGCTGAACGAGTGACGTGAAGGTGACAGAGTTGGACAAGCTGAGATTTCCTTTGGGAGTGAAGGCGTAAAAGAAGCAACTTTGTTTATATAGAACTGTAATTTCCCATATCTGTCTGTCTATAAGGAAGCTTGTCCTTAACATTGAACTTATTGATAAAACATTAACAGTGGCTGACACCCTGCCGTGCCCAGACACAGGGAGAGTTTTTTTGGTTGCTCCACACTCCAAAATCAGGCCAAACCAACTACCCTCATATCAAAAGCTTAATCCTTTTACCGCAAAGCCTTGGCCTGCCAGGAAACCAGGATGGAGAGAATTTAAAAGTAGGTCAGAGGGAGAGCTGCGTTTTAGCTGACTGGTGACAAAAAGGTAACGGTATGATAGTTTTGACTGCGTTAGGAGATACAGTGAAGACGACCACGAGGACAGGGCCGAAGATTTAACGATGGAGTAGAAGAGGATGAGAAGATGGTCGCTGTGACTGTGCAGTGGAGACGGCTGATGGACAACGTCTGAAGTGTTCCATGAAAGTAAACAGCTTCCTCCCCTCGATGGATATCAGTGGAAACGGAGGACAATCATCTGCTGCACAGCTGTGCTTATAAATCCAATTGACTGTAGCTGATAGAATTCTGCAGATGTTCAATCTTACGTTTGAAAGTTGGTTGGCTGCTCTTGGCTGCTCAAAGCTGTAACAGTTGGATTTAGTTCTTGTGAGCAGAGCCATTAGACAGTCTGAGAAAGGCTGATTGAGGAACAGCATTAGAATAACAATGACAGACTGGGCTGCCTCCGCTGTGTTCCATATAAAGTGCTTGAGCAATGATTTTATTTTCAGGCTTTGACACAACAGGGTTGGTGCAGCTGCGACTGATGGGCGCTGATGAATAGTATTAATTAAGTACAATGAACACAAAGAGAGGCTGGTGCCCTGAATCATGGAAAAGAACACACCAGTGTGTAAGGAGTGGCTCTTTGTTGACACATTCTGGCTTCCAACTTGTGTTTTTGTATAGTAGGTGTGTATGTGTGTGTGTGTGTGTGTTGCTGTATATGTAGTGTATCGTGTGTGCGTTAGATTCCATTTCTCTCTGGGGATTATTTGAAGGTAATTTAAGGGTTGTGCTAAAAAGGGATAGACCTATCTTGAGTGTGTGTGTGTGTGTGTGTGTGTATAGGTATGTGACTGTGCGTTACATAAACTCAGAAAGGAGGTGTTTCCCCTCCTTTGTCTTTGATCTGTGTGTGTGTGCAGCAACACACTGTGGATTTAGGCGGTGAAGCGTGACAAACACTGGCAGGATTATCAAACTGGAACTGTTGCCAGTTTCCCTTTTCCTGTCTCACTTTCTTTGATATTCTTGATAAACTTGCTGTTTATTCCAGCTGGTTCTATATTAGGTCTGGCACTTTTTCCTTATCAAACAAGGCTGTATTTTCTGTTAGGCAGAGCAGCAAAAGTTCTAATTGGAGGTTTTGCAGAGCAGCAAAAGTTCTAATTGGAGGATAATTATCTTGGAACTAGTGAGCAGGTGATCTGTCTCAGCCTGAGAGCCTTGTCTTGACCAGTGACTGTGTTTTGGAGTTAGAGAAAAAGCTCAACAGAACAAACAAACGTATTATGAAGTGGCTTTGAAATATGATTTTGGTTTTCAAAGTTTTAGGCAAAGTCATAGTAGTTCAGTGAAATGTATCTATTCTGAGTATGAGAAAAACAATTAACAAAACTGAAGGTTTATGGTGTTTTGCTGTTGGCAAGCAAAAAACCCCCTGTGATACCCTGATGCCATACCGCTTGTTTCCTTGTTGCTGTAACACAGTCCCACCAATAGATTGTAGGGTCGTTCTCTCCTGTCATTAAAATGTAACACGTTGTTGTTGTTTTTTATAGCTGGCCTTTTTGGTGACTTTGTTTATATTTCTGCTCTTACTTCCTCCACACACATCACTGCTGCAGGTTGTGCGTCTGTGTGTGTGTGTATTTACTGAGCTGTGTAACCTTATGCCCTGCTGATATGTAGGCCACCTATTTATGAGGTTACCATGGCAGCTGCCATAGACTGAACAGAACAGCCAGCACCCAAACACATTATTACGCAATCTCTCCTCCTGGTCTATTTTTTGAGGCTTTATTCTCCCCGTCCTGAATGTGTTTGTCGTCTCTGGCCATTGTTTTGGGCTATATGGGAAAAAGGGGTTTTGTTTTTGGCTCCTTTTGTTCTTCTGTCACCTGTGGTTAAGGAGGCGGCTCGCTGTGACCAACACTTCTCTTCCTGCCTCCTGATTGGCTGCTGTGTTATTTTGGGAGCCTGGGATAACAGCTGTTGCTGTGTGGATGGCAGAGCAACCCGAGGAGAGGTGATGATTGGAGCACAGGAGGAGGATGGTTGGAGGGCGGGACGAGGTGTGGTAGGAGTTGGACCTGCAGCGACGGCAGTGGTGGCGAGAATGTCTGTTGGCACGCCGAGTGTTAATGGTGTCGTTACCCTGCTGCCTCCATTTCTTGGCAGCGGGAGGTGTGAGAGGGTCCTAAATATGTCCACCCCTCTGTACTATGGCATCCTGCTAACAGACGCACTGTCGCCACAGTGTAAATGGACCTGCATGTGTGTGTGTGTCTGTGTGTGTTGTCATGTCAGTGCACATGCATGTTGCCGTACTTGGATTTTAGATGCATAGAACTGCATTTGCAAGTATGTTCATGTATATCTACGGAAAAGTCGCCAAACAGGGTGTGTGTTGATCAGAACCCGTGTGTGTGTGTGTGTGTGCGTGTGTGTGTGTTTGTTTCCTGGCCTCAGGGTAAGTTGACCCAGTGCTACTGTGGGTCACAGCTGAGTTTGGGAATAGCTCTCTGACACCCAATACCAACTCTAGCACTCTGGGAATTATGCTAATATCCCTCAGAGCCAACCACGCCCTCCGCCCCCCATGTCTTAGCTGCACATTAAACTGCCAATCAAACTGTAAACAAGGCAGGTCGCCTCACACACAAGTGAGAAAATGCCCTTGCGCTGACACACAGCTACTTTCACACCTCACCTCTGAGATTTGTATCCGTGTTTTGCTCAAGGCGGAATTCGTTTGATGGTAAAACTGGCATCAGTATTTAACTGTGTGTGTGTGTCAGCTCTTTGTAAGGACCACGGTCAACAGTGAAATTTAAAATAATGTACTTTCAAGTCACTTGTTTAATTCCATAGTACTCTACAGTAGTGTAGTATAGCTTTCTTTTGGAAAAATCTGGTGAGAAAACTGGTCGCCTCGTTCATGGATACAGTGAAATACAGTGAAATAGGTCACAAATATCCACGTTTAGCCAAATGCTATGAGAATCACCCCACAAATAAATACAATTTTCAACAATTCTTTGTAGTTCTACTACATTTGTAGTATTGTATTGTAACCTTGGGAGGAAAATCCCCTTTAAAGTAATCCCTAACCTGCAGTGCACACATGTTGATTGTTGATCCTGCTCCTGATAAACAATCTTTCTGCACCTGCCAAACGCAGACCCATGAATCAGCATGGGGAGCAGGCAGACGGCTGAAATAAATCAGAATAAGAGTGATGCTGAGAGGAGCGTGGACTAAAACCAGTTTTCAGGTCAACAGCCTCCCACACCGACTCTCTCCGTCTTTCTCTTCACCTCCCTGAGTTTTTGGGTAATACGAGAGCCGACATGTGAGACGTTGTTCACCCTCAACCTAAATGTGACCTGAATGTTTTTGTTTCTGAGCAGTGACATGATTTACAGACACCGGTTCCATCCAGTTCTGCCGCTGTGATGGCTTAATCAACCGGCCGCTGATGTCAGGCGGTGCACAGGTTACTATAACATTCGTCTGCTGCATTTTTATTGGGTGTTAGGTTTCCCTCAGGAAATTGCAAAGGTTAAAACGCCTGTTAACTTTGTGCCTAACATGCTCTTGACTGTAACTGCTTACAAATAGGAAATACAATCTAAACTCTAGCCCCATGGCAGAATGTGGCACGTGGGCAGATTTCTATCATCATTTTATTCAGTCAAATTTAAAGCACTTTCTTTTACTACAGTAAGACTCACAAAGATTAGCCTAAACTAGTTTTGCTATTTCTGTTTCACTCTCAGGCATATTCAACATCAGGCAACTTTTTGGTACTTTTTTCTAGAATGATGAAGAATGAATGTTAAATACTGTAAGCTCCTTCCGGGCTGACTTTTTTCTTTTTTGTGTTTTTCTGCTAATCATTTTGCTGTTTCTAGCTAAATGGTCACTACATGTAACAGTTAGTCTGAGACTCTACTGTTACTTAACTGATCTGGAAGCTATTATTTACAATGCAACAGGTAGAGGTATAGCAGTGACTTTCATCAATTCCTGCAAGTATATCAGCATTGTGTTCAACGAAACATGCAGGGGTTTGACACTGAGTAAAATGAAACCAGAAGATCTTTACATTTTTTTACATTAGACTTTCAGGATATTGTTGTTTGTTGAGCCGTCGTGGGATTTTTCTAATAAAATAGTAAAATATGTGCCATGGCCCAATAACGGTTGTTAAAACACTGTATTAACAAACAGCTCTAGCTATAAAAAGACTTTGCTGTCCCAGAGGGAACCCAAGGGCCATAGACTAGATTCCCTCCAGAAAACTTTGGAGACAAGCAGAATAACAAACAAAATCTCACTTTTCAGGGAAATGTTGAAATAACTTTGAATTTAAGCAAATATTAAAATAGAACATTTAATGAAACAGAATAGATCTGCATGTGTTTCATAGCAACAAAGGTGACACAGCTTTTTTGAAAACTCCCAAAGGCGTGTTCAAGGGTATTTCAGCACAGTTTTGAGTTTATTCTTGGAGGAGTAATGAGTTGTTCTCTGTTTCTGATTACTGACATTTTCCGACCATATCTTTAGTCAGCCAAGAAAAATTGAAACGCTAATCCTGCAGACATAAACCTGCTATGTTTTGGCAAGGGCTGCCTTGAGAAAAATTAGAAGCAGCATTTCAAGATAACAACTGGAGAAGTGGAAGGAAGAGGTAAAAGAAAAGGAGGCCAGAGTGATTGAAGGAATGTCTGTCAGACAGCAGGAGAGGTGGAGGTCGAAGAGAAGAAGGATTTAAACAGAGTTGTTGGCTCAGGGTTGAGCAAGAATGACATCATTCCTGCGCTGCTTCCACAGGAAATAAGGTCACAGCAGGAACCTCAGCCAAGCACAGAAAGACGTCTGCATTTAGGCTCTAGGTGCACGAGCGTAGAGATGAATAATGCATTCAACTACACACACACACACACACACACACACACACGCAGACAAATCACTCCCAAACATGAGCTGGTGTTGCTATTTGGAGAGGAGTTTTCCAATACGGCTCATACCATTCAAGGTTAGACAGTACAATGGGATTATTCACCACCCAGCATTCACACACACACACACACACACACACACACACACACACACACTGACAGTTCATTAACATTACACACTGCTATGAGATATTTGGACACACATCAAAGTACACAGTGGTTTCTGTGCGACATCATAACTCGGCCCAGTGCAGTCTGGGAGATAATCCACCTACACACAACCACAACCACACACACACACACGGTGGCCTAAGTGTTTTTTTTTTAATGCAACTTTTTCATCTCTTTTTTTTTTATTGTTAGCATCTCTGTTAGCATCTCTGTTAGCATCTCTGTTAGCATCACTGCCGTGTGTTTCTATTGACCTCCCTCCAAACTGCCATGGATACCACCACAGTACATGTATGTTTCTGAGCAGTCTGTTTTTGGAGGGTCTCCCCCCGACCCCAAAATATCACTTGCGCAATCTGATCAACCAGAGGGGGCGCCCATGGAGGACCGTGGCACCAGGCGCAGGTATCAAGTGGATCGTAAGGTTTTTATTTAGCTTTATTTTAGAACATGTGGTGAGTTGATGTCAGTGTTGCCGGCGTAGAGTACTTGACCAGAGTCTCAGGTCAACACGGGTCCTTCAACCGTTTAAGGTTCAGATGAAAGGAGTCAACAAACATTTAGTGTTGAGACCGGAGACCGAGACAACAATGGCAGCGTCTCGTGGGACAGTTTTTACCTGTGGGTCAGTGTGATGTCAGCAGCTTTGATACTGTCTTATGAACTCATCTGACATCACGGAACATTTGACACGTTAGCCTGCAGATGCTGTATTATTCTGGGAATGTTTTCAAGACTCGTATTTTTTTTTTTTTTAAGATTCTGTTCCAACTTTAGTCCAAGGAACGAGAGCGTTTCAGTCAAACATCTTATTAACATGGAATATTATAATACGTTTACAGTCCAGCATGTGAAAACATTGACTTTATTGTCATTTCTGCAGCTTTTACTTTTTTGATAAGTCAGGATTGAATTGATGACTTTATAAAGTTTAACATTCAAATGTAATTTTCAGATGTTATCTTAGCTCAATAGGCTCAGCAGCCCCCCCTACAGTCCACAACCTGCATTATTTCAAAGCGTTAGTGCCTTCTGTAGTTCTGTATTTTCATTCTGATTCTTTACATACTTTGCTTTTAATATTTGAAAATGAAAAAGTACAGTACCATCTCTGGACAGAGGTGGCGCAAGTCCCTCTCAGGGTGAACTTTACTGTTCTGGTTGTATTCTCAAATCTAATGATGGTTTAAGACCTTTGCACAATACTCCAGACATTTGTGTTTGATTGTGTTTTCCATGTGATTTCCAGTATTTCCCCTCCAAGCGTTTCCCCAGAGTCCGTGGCTCCAACTCCACCCTCACTTCTTCTCTTTGAATCACCCGTTCCCACACTGTTGTAGGGGCTTTTCTGTCAGCTGCTCTCTCCCAAAGCTAACTTAATGTTTTAATACAGCCAGATCATCCAGTGCTAATGAAAACACACCGGTGAAGGAGGTGACACTGTGTCGAACTGAGCGGCCCAGCTGTGTTATTGTAGCCACTCTTCATCCACACTCATTCCTGCGTCACGGCATCACAGGTGGCAGCAGAGTGTGTTAACATTCAGGGAGCTGCTGCCCTCTAGTGACTTTCAGTGATACCGCTGTGTCTCAGACGCTGCTGTTTCCTGATATGCAGAGGATAAACAGCTCCATCTACAGGATGACTCTGAACTCGCAGCGTCAGTATTTACAGTCTGAGCAGGGTTTTTTCCCCCACACTGGATACATTTAACTTTTGCTCAGTGAATGTATTTGACCCACGTACGGAAACAAATGTGCAAACAATAGTCCATTTTAGAGAAGTTGTGAAACGACGACTGTTGTGCAACCTCCAGTGGAAGACCATTTCTCCTTTTGTCTTTATGACTTGTGTCACCCATACAGACTTTTTAATGAAACTCACTCTGTTTTTTTTTTTTTACTGTCAACCAAAAAAAAAAAAACATGAACATGAACGTATTCTTCTGACGCATTTCCCCATTTCTCCCGTCTGTTTTTGCTCTTTAAATATAGTAAAAAGGAAAAATAACAAGTTGACTGAAGGCTTACTTCCAACACAGGAACCAGTACAGGGACAGGGCAATACAGTGTGAGTGTTTCCACCTCAGGCACCAGGAACTAAATGGATGTACAAGGGATGTATTTGGCCAGAAATACGCAGTATAGTAGCAGGAAATAGTTTGCGCTGATTCTGGCTCGGGGTGTGTTTCCGCTGCGGTGAAGGTCTTGTTGAGGAGATGAAGAATCCGTTTGGGTTTTTCCCAACATCAAGGTTTGCCACAGCAGTGGGGCTGCTTGGTGATTTGGCACAGTTGTTCACACCGGATGTCCTGTCTTACACAATCCTAACCATATTGTTTTGCCTTGATTTTGTGTTTGTGGATGTGTGGTTCACACCCTTTCAGTTGATTGGTCGCCTTTGAATTGTCATTTAAACAACAAATGAGAGATTTAAAAAAATAATATTCTACTAACCTGTCAGAGATTGTAGTACTAGCTTTTGCAAAACAACAAAAAATTAAAAAAAAAAAAAATCTACTAACCTGTCATGGATTGTAGTACTAGCTTTTGCAAAAAAAATCCACAACAATAGTTTTTAACTTAGCTGTTCCTAAAATAAATAAACCTCCTTACGTGATGTTTCATTATCTTATCGTTTTCCGACTCTAGTTGCGTTCACACTGCAGAGTAAAGTGACTTTCTGCCTATATTTGAGTGTCAAAAGAACACATTTCTTGAAGACAGACTCCTGTCTTGTGATAAATGTTATACATATCTGATGTTTTTTTAAAAGCAACGATACATAATGGATGGATTATGGGTTGTGTCCCACGGTGTCACTGAAGTGAGACAGATATCAAAACCAGACGACGCAGGATCAGGCAAAAACAAGCGTGCAGTTGGACGAAATGGGGGGAAAAAAGTACGTCCCAGATTGTTGATGGATCTAGACAGAGGAAAGAACAGGACCGTCCAAGTTTTCTCCTTGGATGATGGGTGGCTGCGGGAAAAGTGCGAAGGAAAAGTGATCCAGTTTATTGACAAGGATTGGCAGAAAAACTTCAAAATAAACAGGTTAGTTAGTGAGATGTGTAGCATCGACGGGAGTCGCATTTATATTAATTTGAAGTTGAAGAGATCTCAACCCCCTGCAGTGTGAAGGTGTTTCCCATCGCTAAAGGAAGCTCAGGTTTAGTTCAAACAAAACTGAAATCCAGTTTTTTTGTTATATATATATATATATTTCCAAATTAATGGATCCTAACACTGACTCACAAACTTTTAGCTAAGAGTAAACTTTTTGATTTATTTGCCTGCTTTTAGCTGTATTGAAGCTAAATTATTTACTCAGATTTTCTAGTAAAAGTTTAGCTTTTCCATCACGTCTTTAGTCAACGTTGAAGCTAATTTGTCGCCTCATTTGAGTAATTTGTTGTTTTTTAGGGATTTGCGATATATTTGTTTTTAGCTACTTTTTTTAATTGAAAAGCACTTTTATCTTTTGGGGTAATTTTTAGTAGCATTTACTACAATATTTGCAGAGGTCATTCATAGTTTTCTTCTTGTCTTTTTTTTTTTGTAATTGTCCAGTGTGTCTGTGGGCTGACGTTGACTCACTTTACTCTAAGGAAAATTCTTCAAATATCTTTCTCAAAAATGATGGTTGTCTGGTGGTTTCCATGGCCATTTTGCTCCTGATCCTGAGCAGATCCTGATCATGTTTCAGAACTTCCCAGACAATGAATCATCTTAGTGCCCTGCTGCTACAAGGTTCGTCTGCATGTCTGGCACAGTTCTCTTCTCTTCTCACAGTCTTCTTATCCACTGCCAGCTCATAATTGCTCCTTGTTTATTACCTTGCTTCATGATGTAATTCCTGCACAAGAATTCTGTTTGGCAGCCCAGAACAACAGATAAGCAGCAATAGCACGACACTGGATGTTGTTGTGCTTTGAAATGTAAGTGAGCGGCGTTTAACAGCAGGGATGTGTTTTCCAGTGTCTGTGCAGGTTGGCCTCAGTGGGGAGGCAAAATATTTGGCACACAAATACGTTTATTTACTCCACTAAGATGTTACATTCTTGCTAGTCCTCAAATCTGGATGTGAAGGAAACTGTTTGTTATTGCCAAAGGTTTAATAAAACACAGGACATGTCATCATGAGGAGAAAAAAACATCAGTTATATAATGTAAAATAAAAGCTTTTTGTTGAAACTAAAAGCTGGTCCAGCAAGTTCATAAAGTTAGACAAAAAATTGAGAAAACTTAAGATGCAAAAATCCCAAAAGATCCCAGAAATATATAATATGAATAGGCAAAAGTTAGCCTGAAGTTAGCACATTATTAGCCTGAAGTTAGCTACCTGTTAACACAACAATGACTAATTGTTAGCCATGGCAGGATAAAGGTGAAAAGGTTGAAACTGGTTGAGTTAGCCAAAGCCAACATAAATGCTAACTACGCCTGGTTACACGTTACTGGATGGACCAATCAAGGAAAGGTAACTAGACAAAAGATCAGTGAAAGATAACCTAATGTTAGCAAAAACAAGAAAGCTAATTTGAGTTTTAGTTTTTAGCCGTTTTTTTAATGAACTAGGTTTGTGAACCGTTCACCCAGGCCTTTTAGCGTATTCTAATTTTATTTCCAAAATGTAAAAA